ATAGTCTCTGGAGGGAAATTATATCACTGTTTCAGTGGAATAGATTTAATTTGTTTGTGTCTTGTTGTCTATAGCATCTATCTAACTACTTATCTCTGAAGTTACCTCTCAGTCAAAGGTTTTCTGTTTCTTCACATTTTAACAGGAGGGAATTTGCACTTGATTGCTTTGAACACTTTCTAAGTTTGGTCAGCTATCTATGTATTTATTTTTCTGTTCTAGTGAGAGAAGATGGGAATTTAAAATGTATGGAGCCAGCAAAGGCTTAGCTACGATTTGTTTCTAATGTAGAGGAAAATTGCCCAAGTAATCTTATCCCATTCATACAACTAATATGGCTATGAGGCTCTGATGTGTTGAACAGTAAACACCATGCAGCAGACACTTAAGAACTGTAGCTTAAAAGATTTCTTATTTTTCTTCAGATGGTTCTAGCTTTTGATGAATAAATATCAGGTCCTGCTTGCATTAACATCCATGGGAGTTTTCATAAACTGGAGTAGTAGAAGTTCCAGGCTTATAAGCATATTTTATAAAAATGATGGTTATAATGCATTATGCAGCTAAACAGTTCCACTGGGTAGCTCTGGAAGGAAGAGTATTCTTGATGCAAGCAGGCTACAAAGTGAAACATCCTATTCAAATTGAGTATATATATAAAACTGCTGTCAACATGTGGGCAAAGAATGACATGCAATCCCCAATAGATGTGGGATGAAATCCAGAATAATTTTTTACTATATTCTCCAAACAACAACAACAACAAAAACCCACAAAATTAAGAGATCCAAGCAGGGAAAGGCTCTGATTTATGGGATACAGAATAAATATTATATGGATATGGCAATTTGTTTGGGCTTAATATCTATGGGTCAGCTCACACCTGCACCAAGCAATGTGGTCTTTGAACAAATTTTAAAATATGTGTATGCATACATCAAAATCACAGGATGGAGATTGGAATTGTAGCAAAACATGGGGAAATAAAAACCAGACATTACATGTATTATCTTTCATACAAAACCCTATCAACCCTGAAGTCAAATCCTTTCCCACTATTATTTTTAGTGCACTTTTCAGCTGCCACATACTTAAACATTTTATTTTCTTTTATTAAACTGTGAAGTACGTAGGCTAGATTTGAATTCATTCTTTGCCTAATTTTAGTGATTCTCTCCTAATCCTCTTTCTTACTCAATATCTTGTAACATTTGGCTATGGTATTTCAGAGCTGACATGTTGTTAAGGGACAATTTACTGCATTGTCTTGCAGGGTTTCTAATGGATCAGGAATTCACTCTGCCTTACGGGGTGCTGTAAACGAACATTTTGCTAACCTGTGGCTTTCTTGGAAGGGGTGGCTGCAGGCACTGCCTCCACTCTATTTTACATTTATCTTATGCAATTTTTTTCTCTGAATATACAACATATGAAATGTTACCCGTTCATATTGTGGCTTGACCACAGTTCTAACATGTCACCTCCTTCCATTGCCACATCCCCACCGTTCCTTTGAATCTTCTCCAGATCCAGTGGTTGTTGAATTTACATTCTTCGCTAGGCTGTTAATGAGTATATCGATTAATGCTGGCTCCAGTATCAATCCCTGTGGGAGACCAATTGATACTTTCTCTCTTTTGACATAAAACCATTGATGATAACTCATTGGTTGCTGGCTGTTGGATAGATTTTTATCTCCCCTATTGTGTTATTATGCAGCCTATGCAACTCCAACCTTCCTATTGAGTTCATGTGTAGCACTAAACTAACAATTTACTAAAAATCCAACAATGTTATGCCTGCCTTCATTAATTAAATTCTCAGTATAATTGAGCCTGAGCTTTCATTCAGGCCTGTACAGCCTACTGCATGCTTCCACACAATCTTCACCATTTGTGTTGGGCTTCTTTTCCATAAAATAGTGGGATAATTTAGATTGCAAGGGACTACAGAAGTCACCTGGTCCCAGCCCCTACTTGAAGCATCTCCTATTAGATCAGATTGTCTAGGCTTGGATCTGGTCACATTTTGAGTGCCTCCACTTGTGCGGACTGATTACATAGCACTTCCCTGGACCTGCTGCCTGTTTTCTTGCTAATACAGCTCAGAGTGTGGTGGTTGTTCTTTGCTGCTTCCTTGAGAGTTGGCCTGTGGTTTGCGTTGTTGATATTTCATCACGGATAGCAAAATATCAAGCTTTGCATTTGGTTTTCCTGAACTTCATGAGGTTTCTGCCAGCCCAAGTCCTCCTGAATTGTAGCCCTGCCATCTGGCCTATCGACCGCTCTTCCTGCTATCTGTGTGTCTGCAAACTTGCTGAGAGTGCAGTCCATCCCATCATCAGGTTGTTAATGAAGACATTAAGCAGTATTGGTCCCAGTATTGATCCCTGAGGGATGCCACTACTTACTGACCATTTTGTTTAGAAGCATGCAAGCAAATTTACTTCTTGTGGTGGTAAGAATGAACAGCACAAGCCAGGCAGAGTGGGAGGAGGTCCTGCCTCACTGACATTGCCATGTGAATGAGAAATTGTGACACTTTGCTCAAAGTCTGCCAGGCAAGACAGGATGAGAATGCTCACAGTACAGCTGGATCTCTGAGCAGCCAGGTATTTTATGGGATACAAAACTAATGCTGCCTAAAAGGGCAGCTTCGATACCCTAGCAGTTTTAGCAGATCTGGACTTGTGATCCTTTAGATCTGTCATTTCATGGCATTATCATGTACTTGCTCCAGCCTCCAAATTGATGGGCAGCAGATACAGCACAGGCCATTGATGTTTCTCAAAGATAGTGTGGTCCATGCTTGGGACCAAGTTCATATTTCAAGTTTTATGTGGATGAAAGGACTCACCATGATGTCCCTGCTTTCCTCTGTTAGTGCACTTTGGCCTCCCGGACCTGTTGCAATACCAAGTGCAATTAGCACAGCTAATGTAAATATTTGTCCACTCTGGAAGCTGCACAGTTGCTCCCTTATGAACTGTCTTCCCAGGCTACGAGGAGCTGGGAAAAGAGCCTCTTCTTAATACATCTGACACAATAAACATCCAGTTTCAACAGCTATTGGAAGCCCTGGTTCTGGAGGAACCTGTACTGGAGAGGGCTGCTTAAGCAAATTAGATCTCAATTGAATCAATATGACTTTGGCACATGCTGAATGTTTAAGCACATGCTGAAGTGTTTACTATTCAGCCTCTCATTTAGTTTCCATTTAATTAAACAGGATCAGATTCTCAACGGATGTAAATCAAGGGAGTTTCTCCCAAAGGAGTTCTCCCAGTTTGCAGTAATTGAAGGGTTGATCTGATGTCCCAACTCTACTTCTTTCCTCAGATATCCATGTATCCATCTGTCTGTCTGTCCACCTGACTAATCTATGTTATTTTTACCTCCAGAGTGATAAACTATTTGAGGAAGAGCTGCTGTCAGAAGCAGCCCAGAGGGACAGAGGTCTCATTAGGTATAAACGAAGTTCTGAGCCTCTGGTAAATGAAATGAAACTTTTCAGTTGTTACTGTTGTTCAAGTCTGAGCTGATATAAGCATCTCTGCTTCTCCTGATACAGGCAAGGATATCTTTGGAAGTTTAGTGCTTCCACTCCAGATAAAAGCAAGTCATTTGCTTCTTTCATCATGTCGCTACTAATTTCCAAACAGTCAAAGCTGCTGCTAATTTATTTACTGAACACTGAAGCCCTGTTAGCAGGGGCTGCTACTGAAACTGCTTTCTGGCCTTCGGCTTTTGTTTGTTGACAGCCTGATTTCCCAGTAGGCCATTTCCACCTGTGTTTCTGTTGTTTTTAGTGCATGTCTTTCTTTCTTCTTCCCAGTGACTGTCTCCCAAATGGCTCCTGAAGGCTTTTCTCATCTTCCCCCGCTCTCTCATCCCCTTCTCCCTCCCAGCTGCAAGGACTCTCAGCCCTGCTTTCAGTCATCCTGCAGTTAGTGGTTGTCTACACTGCTGAGCTCCCATGGGGCACTAATTTTTGTTTCAAGGACAAGATTCAAAAGAGTTTGCTACACACAGGTTGCAGGGTGCACCTTCAGATGTGCCTTCAAATAGACTTTGGAGATTTGAATATATGAGCTCCTGAAAATCAGTTTTTAAATTGCAAGGGAGGCCTATTAAGTGCTGTAAAAAAAAAAAAAAAATTTTTTTTTTTTGCTTTTCTATTTTAAAAGCCACATTAAAAAGTGATTTTTTTTTTTTCCCACCCCTTCCTCTCTCCCGTGACATTGGGTGGAAATAGAAATTAGGAGACTGCCATTTCCCTTTAACTTCATGCATATCAAAGGAAGAGAGATGACAGGATAAAATGATTCAGAGAGTGGCCAGTGTCTGGAGGAACTCCTGAAGAAGGATATTGAGATGTTGCAGTAGTTTCTTTGCAACAACCCAGTGTGCTGGGAGCTTTCAGTGAGAGAGGGGCTCTGAGATGATTTCCATGACTTGAAAAATTGGGAGGCTGCACAGCTTTGAGGATTTATTTATTAAGATACTGTTTTAATTTTACTCCTTAAATTGTCCATCCTATCTCATGAGTGTGTGTGGTTCTTGATGTACACTTTGCTTCATACAGAACTTCTGTTTTGCTTCATCTCACCCCAGCAACCTGTGCTGGCATCCATGGACTGACAACCAATGTCTGCTATTCTGGGCTGCAAAATTTTTCATTAGCGCATAGATTCAGTTCAACTGGGATTTTACTGCTTCAGTTTTGCTGGCAGATTTGGGATTTTAGCCCAAAAAGCGATGTACAACTGCTAATCTCCCAGTTTAAATGAGCAATTGCAGTTCGGGAGGGTCTTCTGCCCCTTGGTTTCTCAAACTGGACATGTACATCCACTGGGCTCTTCAGATTCTTTCCCCTCTTTGCCTCCATTTACAGTTTGTCAAACAGATGGTAACGCTGTCTGACCCCAAACTGGCACTGTGAAATCGGTCAGAAATAAATATTGATGGGGAAAATATGTGAAACTGTAATCAAAGCAAGGAGAGGAAATCTCCAGTGTCCAAAGGCATGCACGTTGATGGGAGGCCACATCTGCACCTGGAACCAGAAGGTTGGCATCCAAGCTGTTATCTCGTGGTCTTGAGTGAGTCTCTTACCCGCCATGTCCTCCATTTCCCAATAGCATTGCAATAAGGCTAATATTTACCTGGCTTGCAGTCAGAACGAATTAACATTTGTAGAGTATTTGGAAGTCCTTGGGTGAGCAGACTCCTTGTGCTAAGCAGGGCCTGTATTGTCAGTGTAACACTGATGTGCACAGGGCTGCTTGCACAAGTGTATGCACCGCCTAATCTCAGAGCTCTCGGGTTGGCACAGGATGTGAGAACAAACCCAGCAGTCCTTGACAATCCGTGTCATTTTCCTTTGAAATGAGTGTATTTTCTTTGAGAACAGAGCTTATCGTGTTATCTCCAACGAAAGTTATGTTCTGCCTTTTACAGTTGCCATGATGCAAATGTCATTTGTACTCTCCTTCTTTATGAAAGTTAACAGTTATTTAAGAGATCAAAGTTAATTATCACTGAGGAGATCATTTTTACCTATCAACCCACTTCTGTAACCCCACTATCACAAGTAGAAGCTTTATGCTAATCAGTTTTCTAATTTCCATAAATTACTGATAGAATTACTTTTTTTTTTTTTCCAGCATGAAAGTAGATCTGTTGGTGAAAGCTCTTGAGAGGTGCGGAGACGGGGAGGAAACGAGGTAAGGTGTATTTCCGTGAGTTTGCCAGCTGAATGTGGTACCAAGGAAATAAAATCCAAATCATTAGGTTCATCGCATCACAAAACTTGGAGATGCTGCAGCTTCCCTGCACTGCAGAAACCTGATGCACACACATTGTTTCAATTTAACATGGTGATAGGAATGGAATCGAACGTGAGGATCACTGTGTGACCCTATTACATGTGAAGTGTCTCTATTAGAGCTGCAAAGACAGCATGCCAGAGGAGCTGAAATGTGTTGATAGAAACAAACAGATATACCTTTTTAAAAGCAGCAGTCAGAAACTCTGCAGTATGATCTGAGCGTGTTCTGCTGGAGAGGGCAAGGTAGTCTATCCTAGGGGAAGATGATATTAAGAAAGAGAAAGAAACCCCTTCCGCTCCATCACAGCCCTTTCTGTGCAGTGAGCTTGCCAAATGGAAGCTGCTGCTGTGGAAGTTGTTACTGCTATGACTGACAGCTGCTGTAAAATAACCTCAGCTGCAGCATGGGAGGGAAAACAAGAAATCAGAATGAAAGGGATGTGGGTATTTTTGGGTATCCCCTTGGTCTAGAAGTTCAGCAAAATAATTGCTTGGTAATTAATGAGCTTGTTGCTGCGCTGCTTCAGCTTTATAGTCTGATGCAGATGAATTCCAGCATAAATAAAATCACCTCCAATCCAAAGACTAAACCTAGAGATAAAATTGTATCTATGCAACAATAAAACCACACCATACTATTAAAACTTCATTTTACACTCAACCTCCAGTGGGCATTGATGTCCATTTGACCACTTCTCCCTCCAGTAAGGCAAGGCCTGGGCTGCCCTGATGACTTGTTATTGCCAATGTACCCGTGGCATTTTCTAAGGCATCTCAAGTATTCGTGGTGGTTTTGGCAGTTCCTCTTACCTCCAGCAGCTGCGTTCTGCTCTTCATTTCCTTTATAAAGATTAAGAAGAGCTCCGTGAGTCTCTGCATTCAAGGAGTTAAGCAAGAGAATAATGATTTGGTGAGAGCTTCCTGACTGCAAAATGGTCACATTTTCCACATTTCTTAGGAACACAGAATTTGCAGGAAGTTCACTTCTGGCTTCAGGAGGAAGGCAGGAGGTGTGGGCTGAAGCCCACTGAACACCACAGCTGTTGTCATACAGGAGCCTGAAGCACTCTTTTCCCACAGCTCCAGGAATAGTCCTGCTTTGCAGTAAGACACAGCCATGACCTGTGGCATGCCCCTCTCCCATTCACCACCCCATAATCCCTCAGAGCTCCACATGGACCCTAGCAGCCCCATACCCTCTATGGAGGGGGCACCAAAAGCATTCCAGGGCAGGGGAGAGGGGACAGAAGTCACCAAAAGGACCTCGGCTTCCCTCTGGCTGTGAGTTTTTGAGTCTCTGCTTAGTGAAAAGCAACACAAAATTATGTTCTCTCCTGATTTTTTTATTCTTCGACCTTCATGTCTCCTGCACACATGCATCTATTTTTCTTCAAACAGGCGCCATCCCACTGAAATCAGCAGGACTCTGTGGTGCTCTGAGGAAGGCATACATATGCCTGGATCAAGCTGATATTTACAGAAGGCTCCTTTTGAATTGGCTTTTGATTTCACACCTATGTTAGAAGGTGGACAGTGAGACTCAGTGTGACTTGTTTCCGTGAGAAAAAGATGGTGAAAGATTGCAAAGTTAACCTTTAATATAACAGACCTTTTTCAGCTGTCATGTACAGTGCTGAACTGCGTATTTCTGGTTGAAATGGAACATAAACTATGAACCAGAACACAAAAGGGTTTAGAAAATGTAACCTTCATGAATATGGTTTGGGTTTTATTATCTCGCTTATATATTCCACTTGATAGCTGTAGGATAACATGACCAGTGAGTTGGAATCTTTCCTTGTTTCTACCAACAAAAAAATCAATCCATTAATAGGCCAATAAAATCCTGGGATTTGGAGAGAGGGGAGGAGGAGAAATAATTGCATTGTTCTGATGCTAACAAGCCGCATCTATCTTAAAATAACTGATTAAAGCCTGTGCTGGCACATGGCCTTTGCACAGGAAAGCTCATTGCTTACAGGTGTGCTGTGCTGGGGCACAAAGATGTTGTGTTGTGCTGCATCTGTTGGAATGGAGAAAGCCCATATCCTTCTGCTCAGCCCTTCCCTACAGACACAAAGCCACAGGGATGGGCTCACAGTGGGGCTGGCCAGGGGCATGCAGAGGTTCCTGGGGCACTCCGCACTGCTGATAAATAGTTGCAGGGATGCACGATTGCATAATGATAGCCACATTCATTCACCTGTCTATCAAAAGAGATGCATTAAAGTTTGAGCTCTCTTCCCCTGGGTCCACAAAGAGACATTTGAGTGTTAGTGTATAGTCTTTAACATACTTCCTAACAGTGGGCTAAGTGCAGTGGGGTTAAACAGAGTCCCTTTTGCTTAGTAATCCATTAGCTAATGGGTGTGTAAGCCCATCAATTTTCTGTTTATTCCCTAACCCCATTAGGGTACACCTGCTGTGCATAAAAAATACACCTGACAAATCAGAGTGATAGCTGAAATAAAATAAATATCAAGTGTTGTTATAGCTGATCCATAGTGTTTAAAGCAGAAAGGGCATAACAGTGATTTGTGAGGGCGGAATGCAGCATGGCGCACTGGCAGCACATGCAGGTTGACATCCATCCATCCATCCCCTCGTGATCCCACTTCACCTGCAGGCTGTGGTGGCAGGCAGCCATGTCCCCATCCTCCAGGTCTCTCTGGGGAGCTGACGTTCACCTTCAGACACTGCTCCCAGCTCCTTCTGGAGAGCCCCAGTGCTGCTAAGTGATAGATTAATTATTTGCGGGGAGTGAGAGCACGAAGGCAGCCAGAAGCTTCAAATCTGTCTCTGGTACCAGGGTCATTTGTTTTGTCACTTCATCGGCTTTATTTATTTATTTATCTTACAGCTCCCCTTGCAATTAAAACTGTTGAAACAGCTGTTATCTGGTAGCTGCTCTTGCCTGGCTATTTCCTGATGTCAGTCAGTGGCTGTGGAACTGCAGCATCAGTTGGAGCCTGAGGAGAGGCAGCCACATCCTGGCTGCCCCCACACCCTGAAGGAGCTGCCCGTGTTGTGGAGCACCCCCTATTGCACAAGAGGTGGATCTGGGCACCGCAGCAATGGAGCCACAGAACCCACTGTCAAAAGCCAATGAATGCTGAAATTAAGAGACTGTTGGAAAGTTGACCAAAATGAGGATTTGCGTTTAAAAAACAGAAACAGAGCGCATTCATCATCTAACAGGAAGGCTGATGAGGATGAGACGAGCAAGGTATGTAGTTCAAGGCAGTTTGACCAGAACAGGAAACTTGCTGGGGCAAAAGAATGGGTTTTGAATGAGGTGGTCTCAGTCCCCATGTACAGGAACCAGATGTCCTCTGGCACCAAGGTGAGTGCTGAGCAGAAGGGGCAGGGCAGGTGGGTGGAGGACAGCACAGGCAGATGGACAGACATTCCAGGATGGCATTTATGTCCAAAGCCTGGGATGGAGAAGCCTTATCTTTGTGGAGGCGGAAAAGGGAATAGAAAGCCCCTCAGCCTGAGAAAAAGCTTAGGAACAGGTTTCAGGGCTTGGAGGCTCACAGCCCATTATCAGATGAAGGGGACTGTAACCACTGATGTTGCTACTCCTTTTGCTGTCAAAGCAAAGAAGCATTGTGCAAGTTTTCAGCAATCACATTCAGCACCACAGGGCTGAGAGAACCAGCTCAGGGCTGCTGAATCCACAGAGCTGAAGAACTCAGCTTAGATTAAGACACGTTCAAAGAAAAAAAAGAAAAAAAAAAAAAAAAAAGTAGTGAGAAGGAAGAGATCAGTTCAACCCAGTCCTGCAACAGCCACTGAACTGCTAACCACTCCATCTGGGTAATGGAACGGAGGGAGGGTTTGCAAATCCAGCCTGAGCTGCCTAATTCCTCAGCCAGAAAGCACCACTTTTAGGTGATGAACAGTGACAAAATGAACAAAGCAAGTCACTGGTGTTGGGTTGTATTATCTGCAAGCTTTGGCATTTTTCAGCTGAATGGTTGCCACTTCTTCCTTCCCAGCCCACTGCTGCTATTATTTTTACAACATGACTGTTGAGGAGTGTATCATTCATAACATACCTATCACAGAGAGATTCCTTTTTAAATGCTTAGGGAGATGGAGGGCTACAAACCATGGGAAATCAACTATGCCTAATATATTATGTAGAAGTTCTGTAATCATTATTGAACTAAAGTGCATTGAGTAAGTGGATAAAATCAGTCCCACCGTAGCATAAGTCTCCAGAGAGCACAGATAAAAATGCCTGGTACTTAAGTAGAAAAAGGTAACAAAATATTTCTAGTCCCAGCAACTGCATTTTCCCCTCTATATAAATAGGGAACCCTCAGGAGAAGGCAATGATGCAGCAGAGGTTGAAGGCAAAGTTAATGGTGGCACGGTGGGGGAGCGAGGCAGTGCCTGGGGCAGGCTGATGATGAGTAACATGCTGTGGAAATGAGGCCGAAGGCAGAGCCTCACTAGCAAGTAGGCAGAGGGGTGCAGGCAGGCCCCCCATACAGTGCTATGGGGTGGGGGGGTCTGGGAGGGCACAGAGAAAGGTCACAGCCCTACAGCCTCTAGATGAGCCTGGTACAACATTTGAGCTCCTCTTTCCTCTGAACACTACAGAGAAATGAATGTTTTACCAAGGATTCACCTTGAGGCTTGCTTTCTAGAGCTTGTTGTGGCTCCTGCACAGAGTGACAGTTTCCCATTCCAACACAAATGTACATCTGCAGATTTGTTCCTACTGAGCTGAGCTGTTACCTTTCTGCAAACCCTCCTCACTACCAGATTTATTCTGTGGGATAATCTGTGCACTCCCACATGTAGCCAAACAGAACCAGTCCTTGCCCCCCCTCATTCTTGTGGTCAAGAGCTGTCAGATTGCAATGAGTTACCCCAGCATGGTGTACCAGCTGCAATCTCACTGAAACCCTTGGAGGGTCTGGCTTACCAAGTCAGGCAAAGCTTGCTGTGAATAAACTGGGGGAGAATTAGAGTTTCATATACTTCATCCTTCTGCAACAAAGGAGGAAACAAACAATTTCACTCTCCTCACCTTACAGGATGCATACAACAGAGCTTGCTCTTTATTTCAAGAAAGGCTTAAGTGATCTTTTAGATTATTTTCTTTTCCTGAGATCTTCAGACATGCATTCAGATGGATGATAAAGTTGAGGTCATAAATTGAAAATAATAGCAAGGAAAAATATGTCAGAGCATTTTATTTGCTGCTCCTGGTGTAGGCCTACACAAAAAAAGCCACCTAGAACTGCAACCCCCACTGTTAGGTTGCAATCTGGATAGTCATCCGCATTCAAGTCCTGAAATGACTATATTACAGTATTCTAAGATGTGTGCTCTTTCACATGACCTGCCAATCATGTTGGAGCAGTGCCATAAGCTCCGGACTAGCTGTATCCTCAAGGGCACCTAGGAGAAGAAAACAGAGGAGAGCTGTGGGGTTGGAACTATTACTTATTTATCTAAAGTATTGACCTGACCTCCCCTACTGAAATACCAGCATTAGCTGCTAGGGAAGAGGGATGCCAGAGCAGATCCTTCTGGGAAATGGGAGAAGCAGAGGTGTCAAATGAAGCCCAAGTCAGGCAATATCCCATTGAGATAAAAGGAGATGGTGAGGGGAGGTGAGGGACACAACACAGGCAGGGAGGTGGCTATGACTCAAGAGTGGGTGGGCAAGGAGGCTGCAACCAAAAGGACCAGATATCTTGCTGAAGCTGTCTGACAGACTATGTAACAGCCTGGCTGAGATGCACCCATAGTGCATGGGATGAACTTTGAATGTTCATGATTAGGCTTTGTACATATTTACGATAATGGTAATGAATTATGTTTGTAAATGGAGGAAGAAGCAAGTAGAAAGTATTGCTTAATGTCATAATGAATGGAAGTGAATAAGGAAAGGGCCATGGCTCTGAGATGACGAGATGGATGGTCCTCTGGAGTGCCCAGTCTGGTGTCTGGGGGAAATTCTTTACAGAGAGAGAGATGAGGTACTGGAACAGCTGCCCACAGAGGCTGTGGATGCCCATCCCTGGAGGTGTTCAAGGCCAGATTGGATGGGGCCTTGGGCAGCTGGTCTGGAATTAAAGGTGAAGGTTGGTGGCCCTGCCTGTGGCAGGGGGGTTGGAGATTCATGATCCTTGAGGTCCCTTCCAACCCTGTGATTCTGTGTCTGAAGTGGCACCCAAGCCCAAGTGAGGAAAACAGAGACTTGTCTTGCTTGGCCACCAGCCAAGCAGATTGATAGTGGCAGCATTTGTTTTTTGTGTCTCCAAACTGAAGGCCTAACACAGGAGAACAGAAAAGTACACTGATGGCGAATGCATATAACATTTGCCATATAGCAGAGGAACAGTGGCAACATCCCTAAAAAGAAAAAAAAGAGGTGAGGATGAGTGTAAATAAACAAAATACTAAGATGAAGGGGATGTGTTTCTGAAAAAGCCTGGACAACATGGACTTAGATAAAACATTTCTAGAACTACTGTCCCATAAAACAGGAGGGATCCAAGCTGAGATGGGAGCCAGGGACTCTGATAGATCTCCAACCAATTGTTAGTACAGCAGCCTGGTTTGAACATGTATAAGAGGATGGGTGAACAAAAGGTGTAAAGCAGGAAGGAACAGGGGAATAAAAATCAAGCGCATAACATAAAATAGGTCTTCAGCTAACCTATGAAATAGCAGAAGATCCATGGACTGTGATGCTAAGCAGGCTTATGTGAATGATTATGTGAGGCAGCTGTGGCATAAGCCTAT